CCTCCAGTTGCCATGAGGATTGTGCAAAGCTGCTGTAATAATCCACAGTTGGACATTGCTTTCTGACAACTGCTGGTGGCACCAGGAGGGTTTGTCGGGGACACCAGCACCCGCACAAGCTGCAAAGAAGAGAGAGCCTTGTTTGCACAGGAGGCAGAAAAGAGAATCACTTGGGTACCAGCTCATTTCATGCATACAGGAAAAGGACAGGATGGCTGCTATGTCAAATGTGATTTTTTTCCTTGTCCAAAGGCTCAATTCATATGGTAAATGAGAAAATTAAAAGTGCTACTGAAACTGGAACAAGATTCAACAGAAAGTTACACCACCTGCTGCATTCTAGTGAGGACGTGAAGTAAACTACTCTCAAAAACAGGCCTTTAATTAACACAAGTGAGCAGAATCTTTAATGAGACTCATTTATAAAGCTGCCATTTCATTAGAATTTTGGTGAAACTCAATGCCTGAGATTTCTTGAGAATATGAAATGGCTAAGCTCCTTGCAAATGTTAAAATTACGTGAAGAAATTGAGTTATACAGAGCAATTTACAACAGCTGTATTCCTTGGGCACACTGTTCTCTCAGTGACAGCATCTAGCTGCTCTTCAAATGGCAACATGTCCTCAGAGTAAAAATGCCCAAGTTCTACTGTTCTTAAAAGAGAAGCCATTAGTGATAGTCCAGAAAAAATAATCCTAATTGGTACCTTTCCATGTAAACAAAACCAACAATTAAAGAATCCTTCTAGTTATGAATCCACCAGAAAAAGAAAGTTCTGTACCTTTTATAAAGGCATCATAAATATGCATGGAGACAAATACAGTGCAGGAATCCCAAACAACTGCATCCATCTGTCCAGAGTGTTGATTAGCCATGTCCTTCGCATTAATCTTAAATTAAGCATAAACATGCTGACCTGTGACTCTTCATATAGTTTCAAATATGAATGTCACATGAAAGGTCATAGAATCATAGAAAATTAGGGTTGGATGGGACCTCAGCAGGTCTTCTACTCCAATCCACTCCTCATATGAGGACCATCCCCAGCTAAAGCACTGGGCTTTGTCGAGCCAGGTCTTAAAAACCTCCAAGGATGGAGATTCCATCACCTCTCTAGGTAACTTGCTCCAGTGCTTCACCACCGTCTTAGTAAGAATATTTTTCCTAATATTCAACCTAAACTTCATTTGTTGCAGCTTGAGACCATTACTCCTTGTTCCGTCATCTGCCACCACTGAGAACAGTCCACCTCCATTCTCTTTGGAACCCCCTTTCAGGTAGTTGAAGGCTGCTATTAAATCCTCTCGGTCTTCTCTTCTCCAGACTAAATAAGCCCAGTTCCCTCAGCCTCACCTCAAAAGTCACATGCCCCAGCCCCCAAACCACTGGAGGACAAACACACGTGGCCCAAAGATCAGTTTGTATACCATCTTCTAATTTTTATTTATTTATTTATTTATTTTTATAGCTCTTGTAAGAGCCACACTGTGTTGTGAAATAAAAATTCACTAGACAAAGTCCCTATAATTTGGGTAAAAATTACTTTAAATAAAAAATGCCTAAAAATCACCCTGCTCCTAAGTGAAACCCCACATTACTTCTATTGGAACTATTAAAATAAGCGTTTCCAGGTTACTGTAGCATTTAATAGACTGCATGCACAGTACCACACACGATATGAAAAACAAGAGAGAAAGTTTAAGGATAGGGACCTGTAATTTCTGAACCCTACAAGTTGTCAAGAGGGCCCTGAGCTGGTGTGGACTTCGAATACACTCTAAAGAAAAAGGTAAAAGCTTACCAAGAATGAAGAAAAATGTACAGCATTTTAGAAATACACATATGTGTTGCTTTTATGAGTAGGTTATGAAGAGTTTTACCTGCAGCATTAGGTGAAGATTAGTTACTTTCTGTGCTGACCAACCACAGTTGTCATCTCCAACTTCAAACCAAGGCTTCATACGCTGAATATATGAACCTTCTTTAAAAAAATTCTGATTGGAATTGTTGTTCTTTAATAAATTTTGTAAAAGGAGAAGACAGTCTTCCACCACAATTCCTGGAAAGACACAAGGCAAGGGTTAATCGAGACAATATAGGTACCCCATATGTAGATTAATAACACTTTCTAGGTAGAGTAGCCTTGAATTAAGCTACCTGGCAACACAGTCATGGAAAGCCAAGATTTCAGTGTGTGCAACCTAACAGCCAGCAATATTTAATAACAAATTACATCACTATCTCCAAGGATAGAAAACATTGGCTAAATGCCATTACATTCTAGAGCAGTAAGTTTTCAAATGATTTCTCCACAAGTATAAAATGAAATGTGTTTGTGAAGAGAATGTGCACCATCTTCTCAATAAAAATGGCTTACGGGGGTCTTGAAAAATCTACAGCACCTTATTTAATGGTCTGAACCATGTGTCACTTCTAGGACCAGCCCTCCCAGGTTTCTCTCCCGCTGCAAAAATGAAATGGTTCCTAAACAGCACTAGCATGATACAAGGTTAGAACTCTTGTGTAACAATTCTTACTGGGCAAGTCACAAATTCACATCTGTATTCACTGGATAAGATTTGAATAGTAACCCCCCCACACACACCTCATTTCAAAGTTATTTCAAAGTTATGTGAATGCCTTGGAGCTGTGACAACCTCTCTTCACACTACGCAGAGAGCCAAGGACACAATCAACCATATGCTTATAATCTGTGTTCCGAGGGGAAAAAAAGAAGAAAAAAAAGTATGTTTAAAACCTTTTGAGTGGGCAATTTTGCCAAAGAATGTGAACAAAAGGTGAAAATCCTTCACTCCCTTTTTGTTCCTTAGTTGTTTCATTGCTGGCCTGCTGAGAGGGTCCTTAGGTTTATTGGATTCAAAACCTTAAGTCAGGGAGAAGAATCAGTAAGATCAGACCAGCTGTTTGACAGCATTCCTCTCCCTCATGCTGTAGCCAGTCATGCTCACCAGTTCTCCACTGTTAGATCACAGCAAATATCAAATTTGAAGTGGAGAGGCAAGAGGAATGAATTAAGAGAACATTCTGTGTTTCTCAAGTTAAGTACCAACTCTGTAAGGAGCTCTCAATTTTCTCCTTATAACAGAAATTTCTCAGAGCATATTTATCTGCTTAATCACTTTAAGCCTAAAATTTGCTTGACTTTCCCATCATGATATATTTATTATGCAGTTGTTTGAGCAATGGCCTCTCAGCTTCTGTCACACTCCATCCTATGACTCAATAACAATGGCAATTTATCACCCCCCAACAGTTTGTGATGAGCACAAATCCTGGTTTTCCCTGATAAAAAAACTGCAAATTCTCAGATTAAAAATACGCCTCCCCCAAGCCCCCCCCCACCCCCCCCCCCCCCCAATTATCTGATTAAAAAACCCAAAATCAGTGATTAAAATAAAAGGTCACTATATATATGTATCAGTTGAACACAATGTTTTCCTGATATATTTACAATGTGAAAGCAATTTGGAAGCCTACCAGTGCCTCAATCATTATAATAAAATAAATTCTAAATATTTATAAATTTTGGGATTTGATTTTGTGTTCTTTATCATGGAAAAATATCAGAGTTTCCCCTAACACCTTAACTCACAGAACACGGGTCTAGGCCCCTCACTCCCAAGCCACAGCCCCCCAGCCCTGCTGGTGCTCCTCAGCCCCCACCCGCAACCCCCTGTCCCCCACATCCATGTCAGAGGGGGCCCCCAGCTGCCAGGGCTACCGGGCAAGGGACACAGGTCCGCAGCCCCCTGCCCCCGCCACAGCAGCACCCGAGCCCTGGCTGCTGCCCACAGGAGGCAGTGGCTGCTGCAGTGGAGCAGAGTGCAGAGCCTAGCTCCACCCTCCCTGCTGCAGGCTTGGGCAGGGGGGCCAGCTCCTTACTGCTGCGCACGTTCCTGGGACGGCAGGGGGGGGCCTCTGCTCCCCAGATCTGTGCGTGGGGTGGGTGCAGGCTGCCCACTGCAGGCTTGGGCTCCCTGCCCTGCTGCCCTGCCCTGGGGCCTCCAAATCCCAGCAGGTATGACCCAGTGCTGCAGCGCATGGCGGAGCCGGGAGGAGAAGCTGCTTGCCGCGCAGCCCTAGTGAGGTGCCACCCCCCTGGATAAGCCACCCATTGCCCCATCTGGCTCCCCACTGGGGTCCTGCAGCGGCTCATTCTGCTCCCAGGTTCCAAGCCCCACGCACCCCCTCAGCCCCTGCCCTACCCAACCCACTCCTTCCCTCCCTATGGGGGCCTCAATCCCTAACCCCACAAGACTTACCTGTGGGAGCTGCTTTCCAGGCTGCCTGGTAGCCATGTGTACATACATGCACATGGCACCCCCTGCCTGACCACCCTCCTCCTGCTCCCCACAGCCCTTGCAGGATGGAATTCTGCCAGTCTGCAAAGAGCTCTTTGCAAAACTGCAAAATCCACAGGTTTCTCCGTTAAAATGAGAAATCTGCATTTTCCTTGGATAAAGGGGGAAATCCGCATTTTTCTATGGTGAACTGAAAACCCAGATCCCTGGTGATGAGCTACGTTTTCAATACAGTAAGTAATGGGCCACATAGAAAATTCAGTGGTTAATGCCGAAACCTTTTCAGCCATGCCTCGTTTTATCTTGTACATGACACCAAGTTTGTTTACTGAATGCTTACTCTGCTCCATAAATTTAACTGAAGCCCAAAGCATCTCACACACTAGCTGTTTGAGAAAGTGTTTCCTCTTCCCTCTCTATACACCCACAATACGTTTCAGCTTTTATACTGGCAGCACTCAAGTAACATCAGAGCCTATTTTATAGTAAAACAGAGGCAACAGCTTGTTCATATGTCTGGGCAGTACAGAGAATAACAATTACTTACCCTATAGTAACCCAAGTCTTCATGATATTGTACTGAATGGGGATTTGACTATGTGTGTACAAAATCAGAATATGTTCAGCAACAGCATCTGCTGGCATTGTACAGATCCATCCTGGGCCCCTCATTTTCTCCCACAATGACCTGAAGGGTGAAGTAGTCTTAACCCTTCCTCAGTTCCCTAGCAATTCAAAGTTTGTAGTAATAAAGAACTCTGAAGTGTAGGG